CCGCAAAAGGCATGCTCAACGTCCTGGGTTAAAAACAAAATCCTCTGTTGGACAGACTCGAGGGCGGACAGCCTGCCAGGCCCCTGGACAGTGACTGCTGCCCTTGCCCATAGCCAGCGCTCCAGAACATTAATAAAGACGTCGTGCCCGACACCCAGGCACCGCCTGACTTCGGGGGTTGTCCCTGGGAACACGGGCAGGCTGGGACTGGAGCCCCGAGGGGACCAGGTCACCAGAGGAACCCCTCTGCTCTCCCTCATGCCTGGCCCGCCACCTCTGGCTCCTTCCAGGTGCGGGTCGAGGTGTTCCGGGCAGAAGAGTTGGTGGCCTGTGCAGGACTGACCTCCCCCAGAATTGTCCCCTTGTATGGCGCTGTGAAAGAAGGTCCCTGGGTCAGCATCTTCATGGAACTACTGGAAGGTAAGCCGCCCACCCGGGGGCTCTCTCCAAATTTAGAGCCAAGAGTTACACACACACACACACACACACACACACACACACGTCTTGCCCAATGACCTTGGCCCTTCGTCCACTTTAACCTCTTGACCCTGTGACGTCCACAGGGAAGGCCTGCTTTTCCACCACCTGCCTCCGCTCTCACCCTTGGCTTGTGGGAGGTCTGGCAGAGCCCCATGTAAAGAGTGGCCTGGTCCCCTAGGTGGCTCCCTGGGCCAGCTCATCAAGCAGAAAGGCTGTCTGCCGGAGGACCGGGCCCTGTACTACGTGGGCCAGGCCTTGGAGGGGCTGGCATACCTGCACGCCCGGAGGATTCTGCATGGAGACGTCAAAGGTGAGGTCCAGGCCCCGGGCCCTGGTCCCAGTGGGCTCAGCTCTTTCCCTAACCCATCCTGCCTGGTGACTTCCCCAGGTTGTTCCAGGCCCACCCGGTCATGGTCAGCGGCAGAGCTTCACAATCAGCCTGACAGGCTGTGGGAGGGGGAAGGAGGGTCTCCAGACCCTCCGTCAGTCAGTTCTGAGTGGAGCGGTGCCCACGGAGAGCTGAAGACCCCACCAGAGGCCACTGGGAGAGGGTGGGGACAACAGAGCCACCCTGTGGTGGGGTGGGGACAGTGGACGCACCCCAGGAGTAAGCCCTGGCCCCATCCTGGCCGCTAGACCCTGAGAGGTCTAGCCTGCTGCCTGCCTGTAGCCTGAGTGGATACCCCCTCCCATGCTCTAATGAGACGAAGCAGAAGCAGCCGCTGCCCTGTAGGGTCAGCCAGAAAATGACCTCACTGGAGGGCCAGGGCAGGCCAAGCCAGGGTGGGCTGGGACATGACTCACGTGATGTGACTCACGTCTTTCCCTTCCTCCCCCCGGGCATTCTGGCAGCTGACAACGTGCTCCTGTCTGGCGATGGGAGCCGCGCAGCCCTCTGTGACTTTGGCCATGCTGTGTGCCTTCAACCGCACGGCCTGGGGACGTCCCTGCTCACAGGTAAGGCACCCAGAGTGCCACACCCCGCCAGGCTAATAGCAGCCGCCCTTACTGCCTGCACACTAGTGAGAGGCCTTCGCCGGGCTTCCAGTCATGGAGTAAGAGACGTGCATCTTTATACCCACCAGTGCATCTCCAAGTCTCGCAGTCGCGCAGGGTCTCTTGGTAACGCTTGGATAATGGCTGTCCGGTGTTCACGTCTGAAGGTCCCATTACCCAGGGAAGGGACAGAAGAGGCTGGGGCTCTCCCGGGGCCTCAGGCCTTCCTCTCAGAGCCTCTGTGACCCATGACTCCTACCTGGCTCTGCGCTCGGGCTGTGCTTCCAAGAGGTGACCCCGACTCCCCACCTCCAAGAACACCTGTGACTGCAAGCGAGGTGGCCTGACCCAGGGACCGTGCTCTGCGGCCAGGGACATGCCTACTGTTAACTCATCCTGAAAGTAATTCATGCCCAAATAATCTGGCAAGTGCAGAGTTAAGTAGAATCAGAGAGAAGGGGAGTGGGGGCGGGGAAGTTTCGCCATGTCTGGCTCTTGCCTAGATCTACAATCATGGGGAGTTCAGATCATTCCTTCCGCCCCCACCCGCTTTTCGTTAGAGTTAAGGCGAGGGGGATACAGTTTTGTTTTCCTTTCTAGCATGGAGCATAAAAGGATTTCATTTTGGGCAAAGGCCTTTGGTAGGGGTCATTAAAGGGCTGTGTCGGGATGTGAAGCCCCTCACGTCCACATGCAGATGGAGGGTGTTCCTGCCGTTACAAATGGCGCTTTTCACAGCAGAAAGTAGAGCTGAGCGAAAGCCACTGGAGATAGCGCCGCAGCTGCGTGCTGTCGCCCTGCCCAGCCTGCTCTGGTCTGTGTCCTCTACAATTGGTTTCCCCTCCCCTCTAACGTCTCAGGCACAACGTGCCACCAGTCATGTCTTCGGCCTGACCATCAGTGTCGAGCCGTCCGCTTCTTGGTTTCAAAAGGCACTGGAAAAGTAGTCCCTGCTGTGTGCCAAGCTTGGTCCTGGTGCCAGTAGGGTCCCAGCCTCAGCTCATCCCCAGCAAGTTTGAATGGGGGGCTTTGTCTCCTCCATGCCGGAAGCCACGTGAACAAGGAGACATCTGGGGCAGCCAGGAATTGGCCAGTGCAGGCCTCGCCTGGGCTCTCGTCCATCAGCATTCACGGTCGCCTTTCCTGCCTTTCTGTCACCTTCTCAGGGGACTACATCCCCGGCACAGAGACGCACATGGCTCCAGAGGTGGTGATGGGCAAGCCCTGTGACCCCAAGGTGGACGTCTGGAGCAGCTGCTGCATGCTGCTGCACATGCTCAATGGCTGCCACCCATGGGCCCAGTACTTCCCGGGGCCACTCTTCCTGCAGGTCAGTGGCGGCCCCAGGGAAGGCACGGAGCCTGGGCTGGCGGTGCACGGGGGTCCTTCCATTAGGGCTGTGCCTTGGTGGGAGCTGGGAGCAGGGGGAGACCTTGTGGAAAATGTGGGTCCTAACTGCAACACCACCCCATTGCGGGGAGAGGTCCCCGGTGAGGATGACCCCACTGAGTTCAGGGCAGTTCAGAGCCCCCATCACCTGCCTCCTGACGGGCTGGGCCTCTTGCTCCCCTGCTCTGTCCTGCCCTACCTGTGACCTTTCAGGTCGGGCAAGCCAGGTAGGGAGGAGGAGGAGAGGAGGAGGAGGAGAGGAGGAGGACTCTCCATCGCTCAACCCTGGGCCTCTCCACGCCCAGGGACAGGCACCGAGTGGGGCAGGGACAGGCTGGTGCTGAAAAACAAGGATCGCCCGGCGGCCTCACCATGCTGTCTCTCAACCCCTAGATTGCCAACGAGCCGGCCCCTGTGAGGGAGATCCCCCCTTCCTGTGCCCCGCTCACTGCCCAGGCCATCCGGGAGGGGCTGAGGAAGGAGCCTATCCACAGAGCATCCGCACTGGAGCTGAGGGGCAGGGTCAGCCTGGCACTGCAGCAAGGTGAGTGCCAGGGGAGGGGGCGTGGGGTGTCTCCAGGAACAGGGAGTGTAGTGGGCATGAGCCAGCCACTCACCTGGGAGCCCGGCTTGCCCACCCTGGATGTGGCTGGAGGGGCAGTCAGGTACCCCAAGTCCAGGCCTAGTGATAAAGAAAGATTCAGGATTGAGGGAGGAGGGGAGAAGGGGAGTCTCTGCCTCCCTGGGAGAAGGAGCGCTAACAAGTGGGGCTGACCAGGCAGCTGTTACAGCAATGGCTTCGTGCTGGGTCCGCGGGCCCCAACCGCGTGAGACAGAACACGGGTGACTCCTCCGTACATGCTAAACCGATCAACCAAAGCCAAGCAACACATGCAACACACGTGCAAACAAAAAGCGACAGGCTCCACCCGATCAAATGCCCTGGGAACGAGCACAGGAAGGGTGGCTCTGGGAGTCTAGAGGCAACAAACCCATGCACAGACGCTCACCCCCAAGTGGCTGTAGTTGTAATGATTGGGGGTGAGCTCAGGAAGCATGAGGGGGGGCGGGATGGAGGGCCTGGGGGGCCGGCTTTAGCAGAGGATTCAAGGATGGGGCTGCCCGGCACTGTTGTGAAATCTTCTCTCTGTTATACATCACAAAGTCCCTGTCCGGAGCCAGTTCTGTCGCCTTTCCATTTGCTCCTGGTGCCAAAAGGGAAATGACAAACACAGCCCTAGTCCTGTTTCATGAGGCCAGCTTCCCCAAAAGCCCCTCTGGAGACCACCGCTGCCTAGTAAGTGGTCTCCCTCCTGAGGGCCAGCAAGAGCCTCCCCCTCCCCCCCCCAGTGCCTCAGGGCAGCCACTTTCTGCTCAGGAAAGGTAGTCTTAACACAATGCATGCCCCTTCAGTGCTGACATGGTGCCCCCACCCGCCCACCTCCCCTGTGTGCTCACTGCCTTATAGTGGGAGGCCTGAAGAGCCCTTGGAGAGGAGACTATAAAGAGCCAAGACACCTGCCGCCAAAGCAAGCCAACTCTCACCAGACCCTCTGCGCCCAGCCAAGGGGAACCTCACCAGGGGCGCCAGGGCCCCAGCCGGCAGAAGACGCAGCAGGCGGGGCTTCAAAGGCCCAGCCTCCTATACCACCTGAACCCCCAGAGCCAAACAAGTCTCCAACCGTGAACTGGAGCAAGGAGGAGTCTGGGACATGGGAGCCCTTACCTCTGTCCTCCCTGGAGCCAGCTCCCGCCAAAGGTGCCAACTCACCAGAGCGCAGAGCAACCTTCCCCGACCAGGAGCTGCAGCAGCTGGAGATAGGTATGGCAGGCCTGGCCCTTGGGCCCCTGGGCCCCCTCCTCTGTGCCCAGCCTGGCTTTTCCCTGCCAAGTCGGGGCCCTTCCAGTCTTCACCACTGTGTCCCGCTCCCCACAGAACTGTTTCTGAACAGCCTGTCGCAGCCGTTCTCCCTGGAGGAGCAGGAACAGATCCTGTCCTGCCTCAGCATCGACAGCCTCTCCTTGTCAGAGGACAGTGAGAAGGTGAGGCTGCCGTGGGCCTGAGCCCCCCCACCCCAGGGGGCCCCTGGCTCCATGCCAGAGGGTGCAGGGACACTGGGCATGAAGTGGGTCAAGGGAAGGTGAGGGGTCCCAGAGGTGAGCGGTGGGGTGGGTTTATCAGCGGGAGATCGTCCATCTTCAGCCACCACTAGGAATGGCACGGAGGTGGCCTGGGGTCCCGCCAAAGGGTTCCTTGTCTGCCTCGGGCCCACGGCCCTCTGAGAGCTCACCACCAGCTCAGCCTCCACAGGGCCCAGTAGGAGCACGCTCCAGCCCAGGCCAGGAGCAGCTCTGGGAGGGTGCCTCTGTCCTAATGAGACCAGGCCGGAGGGGGTTGTCTGAGCCCCGGGGCCTGAGGCTGTGTCCCCCTTGTTTTTCAGAACCCATCGAAGGCCTCTCAGAGCTCCCGGGACACCCTGAGCTCCGGCGTGCACTCCTGGGGCAGCCAGGCAGAGGCCCGCAGCTCCAGCTGGAATATGGTGCTGGCCCGAGCACGGCCCACAGACACCCCAAGCCATTTCAATGGTCAGTCCCACACTTGCCTGCTTAGCACCCCCCAATAGCAGTGGCTCTGCCTGCCACAAGGGAGCCCTTGCGGGGCCCCATCCCTCTCTCTTGGACACAATGCAGGAGGCCCCCACATCCTGAGACACCGGCCAATCAGGAGTGTAGAACAGAGGCCCTGACTCCCCCTTTAGGCAGCTTTTGCCCAAAGGGGCAGTGGGGAACAGTGCCCCCCACTGGCCACTGCTGGGGTGGCATAGACCCCCCTGGCTCAGGGAGGAGTGTGTCTCCTGGCCAAGAGTCAGGACACTGCCCAGCGTCTTCTGAAGGGAGCCAGCAGAAGGGGAGCTCCAGGGTTTTAGTCAGGAACTCAGCAGCCAGCTGGCCAGTGCTGGGAGTTAGACGTCCTGGGCACCTCCCTGGGCTTTGAGGTCAGACTCTGAGAAAGACAACGTGCAATTCCTTGGGGTTCAGCTCGGTTGCACAGGTCAGGTGGTGGTTTTAAGAGGGGCATGGCGGCCCCTGGGCCCCAGCCAGAGCCGATCCAGCACCCAGAGCAGTGCCCCCCAAGTTTGCCACAATCTAATTTCAGAACCTCTGTTTTCCGCTCCTTTTCACTTTGCATCCAATTTGGGATACTGCGTCCTCGGAAGAGCCAACCACTGTGCACTAGGCTCGGCGCTGTGCCAAGTGCAGGGTAGCTTCTAGAGGTTGGCAGAAGCCCACCAGGAAAGGGTAGCTGGTGTGTAACGCCAGGGCCATGTCAGCCTAACTGCCCTCTGCAGATGCACCTCAGCCAGGCCTATACTGGACAGAGAGACTCTTTAGCAAAAGGTTCCCCAAACCCCTGCCAGCTCCTGCTCCTCAGCAAGCCAGCCCCCTGACTCACCCCTAATCTTCTAGGTGTGAGAGTCCTCATCCAGTCCCTTAATGGCGAACACCTGCACATTCGGGAGTTCCACCGCGCCAAGGTGGGAGACATCGCAACAGGCATCAGCAGCCAGGTAAGTAGACAGGCCCCTGCCCACGGGAAGGAGGCTTATGAATCAGTGGGAACGGTCCCTTGTTCCCCAGGGCTGGGGGTTCAGGGCCCGGCTGGCAGCGGTGACTGAGGACCCTCAGGATCCGCCGGAATGAAGGGGGTCGTCGTGCCCTTGGCTGCCCACTGGAGAACCAGCAGCTCAACTTCTGGCTGTCTGGGGAGCCCTGTGCCAGCTATCTCAGGCAAACCGCTTTGCTCACCCTGCAGATCCCAGCCACTGCCTTCAGCCTGGTGACCAAGGATGGGCAGCCCGTGGGCTATGACATGGAGGTGCCAGACTCCGGCATCGACCTGCAGTGCATCCTAGCCCCTGACTGCAGCTTCACCTGGAGCTGGAGAGTCAAACACGGCCGCCTAGAGAACAGGCCCTAACCCGCCTTCCACCACCAACTCTGATGTCGGAACAGCCTGCCCTCTGGGAGGCTTGGCCTGCTGTCCTGGCTCAGCAAAGGGACCAGCAGATCAGGACTAGCACCACCACCCAGGCTCTCCTGCCTGAGCCCTGGCCAGCCCAGCCAAGGCACCAGGGTGAAGAAGAGGAGGAGGAGGAGAGCACAGGATGTCTCCTTCTGGAACAAAGAGGGTCTCTGCCCTCGGGCCTGGCGAGCCAGCCGAGCAGGGCCTGCTCAGATCAGCTAGCACTTGCTGGCAGCTGGGTAGGAGAAGCAGCAGCTTCCGGCGGGGTGGGAGCAGGGCTGCTCGACCTGCAGGCGGCCTAAGCCGGTTGAGAACCAGGGTGGCAAAGGTGCCTGCTCTTGGCTCAGTGGGGAACCGGCCTGCCCTGGCCTACCAGGACTGCGCTGCAGAGGAAGGAAGCCCTGACCCAGGGCCAGCGCCCTCGGACCCCCGCCTCACTTGGCAGCCTCTTGCACACAGGGCCGGACCAAGAGCCAAAGGTGTTTCTGTGGACCTGCTCTGGCCTAAGCACCCACGGGTGTGCTGGCATCACAGCCCCCACTGCTGCCGGCCAGCTGCACTCACCTCTGGACCTGACCCCGAGACCCGGTGATGCGAAGGGCTAAGGAGGGAGCACCAGAGAGACAAAGTTCAGGCAGTGTGGCCATCACTGCCCAGCAAAGCCATCTCCCCCCAGGCCGCGGCCCGGCCACGCCCACACGCTTGCCCTGCCCTGCCCACACGCTCGCCCGGCCAGGCCCTGTGCTTGGGGCTGTGTCACAGCTGCACTTTGATTTCTTGAAGCACTTTCAGGCTGCCCTCCAGGAGGGCAGCTCCGTAGCTCTGCAAGAGCACAAATAAGGACATGGCCCCAGTGGCCCTGAGACAGATTGTGAAGGGACTCGACTATTGACGCGCCTGTACCCACATGAACCCCCCCCCCAACCACCTCCAGATTGCTCACTGCCCCACCCCAGGGGCGCTATCAGGATGCATGTAGCATTAAATCACTGTGAATCATTGCGGGGGGGCGGGTGAGACCCAGTCTCGGGGCCAGGAAGGGCCCCCTGAAGCCCCTTGGGGAGCAGCTCCTCACCTGGTTTCAGGAAGCTTGTCTCCTCATCTTGCCCAGGTGACATGTGTCTAGCCAGTCACCTCGAGCCACCCAGGGGAGACCCCTGCCCCAGCACATGAGAACCAGAGTTCTGGTGCTGTAAGGCTGAGTTGTGGAAATTGTACAATAAAGCTTGAGGGGGTGCCAATGTGTTCTCTGCACTAGTCTGCCCCTCGCCTGCCCCACTGCCATCCAGGGTCTTTTCCAGGCAGCCCTTGTTTGGGGTACCACCCTTCCCCATTTTGGACTCCCCATTCAGAACCACCCCACCCGGCAGCAGCTGGGAAGCCCCTGGCCAAATGCTGCCAGGCCACAGAGGGGGAGAGGAGGGGGTTGCCAGGGCATGCACACACAGCCAGGCAGCCTGGGAATGTCAGTAAGGAACCAACACTGATCAGGCCAGGAGAAGTGGGGTGCAGACCACATACCCAGAACAGCTGAGACCGAGGCCCCAGCATATCACCCATATGGCTGCCAGGCCCAAGGTGCCCTGCTCAGGACTGACCCATCTGCAGATGCACGCCACAGGTCACAGGGTGCCTTGTCCAGCCTGGCTCCACAGCCCTGACGCTGCCCACGTTGTCTGAACAGCGAGCACACATCCACGTTGCAGGCTGCGCGGAGGAATCTCTAGTGCTTGGAGGGTGGGCGACCTGTGCCAGGGTGGCAGAATGCACTCCCAGGCGCCCGCCAGGCCTTACCCTCGCTGCGCAGCACTCCTGGGGTCAGGGACCAAGGGCAGAGCAGCCTGGAGTCGGGGAAAAGGGCGCCGCTGGCGGGCAGGGAAGGGCAGGCACCTCTCCACCGAGGATGCTCCGCGGTGCCAGGGACCGATCGCGCGTCCGCACCCGCCGCCGCCTTCCGCAGCCCCCAGTCCAGTCGCCCCGGGATTTCCGCACCCGGTCCCCTGACCACGGGGACGTCACAGAGACGGCGACATCACAGGCGCCAACGCCCTTGACATGTCCACCGCCCCCTCTCACTGCCCTCAGCCCAAGAGCGCACTGGAGGCGGAGGGGCAGCGTTCACCAGCGGTCTCCCCGCCTCCCGGACAGTCTCCATCCAAGCCTCCATCGGCATGGGGATGACAGGTGACTGCGGCGGGAGGGGATCCCTGCGCGGGGAGCCCCGGAGCAGGCAACGCGGAAGAAAGGGAGGGCGGGGCTCGGAGCGGGAGGCTGGAAGTGGGCTTTGGGGCGGCTCCGATGGCTCCCAAAGAGCCTGGCGCCTGAATCCAAGTGGCCCCGCCAAACCCCTGCTGCTGTCCCACCCTGCACACCCAGCCACCGCCCCTGCGCTCTGCACCCCTCTGGCATCCGCCCCCACGCCCTTCCGCATCCTGGGCTAACGGGACCCTCAGCGTCCCTGGAGAGGTCTTGGGCTGGGAAGGGGCAGTGGCACGTCCCCAGGAAGACAGCCCATACGGAACGCCAAACTGCAGATTATCAAAAAAACACGTCATGCCCCATTGTCCTGGTGGCTGTTTGGTGCATTGGCTCCAGAAGTAGAGTTATCTTCAACGAATACTGATAGGCGCCTCCTGTGTGCCTGGCACTGTCCTGAGCTGAGAGCACGCTGAACAAAGGTGTTTGGACCCTCAGGGCCCTGGGTTGCTCCTTCCCATGTGCCCCTGACATGTACACTTTCTACTTGGGAACTTCACTCTCAGAGGACATGGGCCCTCGCATGAAAGACGGCAAGGAGCCAGAGAACAGTGCCCACAGGCACTTTCCTTGGCCCCTGGGGCACCCCCTGAGGCCGACTCCTGTGCTGGGCCCTGGGGTCCTGCTTGGGTGAGTTAGTTTCACAGTAAACAATGCAGTAGGCCTGATTCTGCCAGGAGGACTTGCCAGTCATCGTGCAAAGGCACTGAGGCATGATAAGACCTGTTGTGTTCTGGGGTGGCTTGGACTCAGGGCACAGGCAGCTGGATATCAGAAGATGAGACGGGAAGATAGGTGGTCCGTCTGCACAGGGCCTTGAAGGCTGCCGAACTAAATACCGGACAGCCTGGAGGCAGGTGTGGTCACCGTGCTCACTGAGAACGTCCACTGAGTGGGGAACTTGGCTGCAGTGGAGGCCCAAAGAGCTGTAAGACAGCCCCGTGGAAGCAGCAGGACAGGATGAGGATGGGGATGGTGGAGAGGGCTCGCAAGGCTGAACTCAGGCCATGATTCTTTTCTTCCTAACTGTGGCCTTCTGCCCGTTTCTTCCTCCGGGAGAGGAGAGCCGCGGCTCCCTGTGCATCAGGTGCAGTGAAAAGTAAATGCCCCCTCACTCTAAGCCCCCAGTGTCCCTGGGCAGTAAGTCCTAGGTCTGGCTTTGGGATAGAAGAGAGGCTGACTCCGCATGGAGAGGTGGAGAAACAGGAGGAGAGGGAAACGGGTTGTACAAGGTCAACATCAGGGGGAAAGAGGTCAGGAGCTGGGGGAGTCACAAATAATCCAAGTGTGTTAGGCCGGGCGGACAAGAAAAACAAATCCAGAGACACTCCAATTTGTGTAAGAAAGAGCTCTCTATCAAGGAGTAACTGTATCAAGAAAACACCCCAGCCTAGTCCAACTCAAGTCCATAAATCTGGTTCTAGTCCCTTAGTCCCTCTTCAGACTCACACAGCCGCATGCGCTGATGCAGAATGCAGGAACATCACAGGCCGGTGGGTGCAAAGTCGCATGGATCCAATGGTGGTACCTCTGGCAGCAACCAAGGTCAGCCGGCAGGAAGATGAAGGCAGAGAGAGGTGGAGGGGAAAGGGGGGAGTTGCCCAGGGCCCTCCTTATGAGAAGGCTCCGCCCATAAGCCGTCACCATCAGGCTGTGACCTGATTGACAGGCTAGATTCCACCCCTACACTTTTATAGATCTTCAAGTTGGCATGAAATTATGTAACTATCACACCCAGTTTCTAGTTTGGGTGCTAGTGAGGTTAAGGGAGGGAGAGGCTGAGGAGGAAGGTAGGAGTGAGGCATGTAGTTGGGGCATGCAAGGTGTGACCCTCAGGTAAGAAATGGAGGAGGGACAGCAGAGTTTGGCAGGGGGAGGGAGAGAATGACTTCATCACTTCAACCTCAGGCCAGACTGCGCACCTCTCACTGAGGATCAGCAAGGGGCTGTGCACCCAGATGGAGGTCTGTGGGGACAGGGAGGGGCTACTGGCAGAGAAGCCTCTAAGCCAAGACCATGGAGTGGGGTCCAGAAGGTCTCCAGGAAGACGTGAGCCCCCGGCAGCATCACTAATCGGTGCCGGGAAACCCAGAGAGAGGAGACAGCTCCTGCTCCAGTAAGGGTTGTGTGACATTGGACAAGGTGACTGTGAGGCCCGTCCATGTGCAACCAGTAACTGATGTCTAGGGCTGGAGTAGAAGTAAGAAATCCATGTCTAAGAGTCTCCTGTAGTCAGACTCGACAGGCAGAATCAGGCTAATCAGAGAACATTAGGAACCACCTATGCCAGCCATTTTAACAATTCAGGTGAAATAAATTGCTTAAAAGATGCAGACTCCCAAAAAAAGCCCACTCACGGGGGCGAAAATCGTCTAAATAGTCTGGGTCTGTTTTTAAAAGTCGAATTGGTGATTTTACACTAACTTCCCACAAAGAAACGCCAGGCCCACAAGATAAGAGGGAAAATGTCTGAGCAGAATCAATGGTTGCAGAAAAAGCAGGAGACAAAACTCAACCTCCAATCCTAATTTAAACTATGCAAACTGAAAACAGAGGGGAATCTCCTCCACCTGATACTGAACCTCGATGGGAAAAGCTGCAGCTGAGCAGCGTGCTTCAAGGTGAAGGTCTCATGTGTCCCCTTGAAGCACAAGAGCAAGTAAGGACATCCACGCTCACCACCTCCAGCCAACATTGGGCTCCAGATTATTGCCAGTGCAATCACCCCCCCACCCAAACTTAAAGACATCCAGGTAGGAACAGAAGATGTCAAACTATCTTGATGCACACAACTACTTATGTAGAAAATCCTGCCAGAACATTCAAACTATGAGAACTAAAACGATTCACAACCCATTGGAAATTACAATTATTTCGAATACAACAGAACATCGCAGGGAAACCCTAACCGTGTGTCCAAGTCAGGCACGGAGGTCCCAAGCTGAATCAGTCTGAGGTATTTTCTTCCAATCCTCAGTGCACACCACAATAATTTCTCCTCCTCGTACTGTTTATAGCAAAGTTTAACCTGTGTGTGTTGATTCAATCAATTGCCCAGGAAACCTTGTAAAGCGGGCAAAGGCAGGCTCTGGGGTCAGACATCTGAGGAGTTACAGCACCTAGAGCACAGGTGGAAGGGAAGCTGAGGCAGCAGCCAAGGAGCGTGGTATATCCTGGGAAGTACAGGGTGTAGAGTAAGGTGACCAGATTTTAACATTGGTAAAGCGGGACGCCATTGATAAAACTCATATCCTGGCGAAATAGCCACATGGCAGCTGAAAACCGTATACCCTAGCTTGTCATGCATTCTTTCCAAAAATCGGGACTTTTTAAAAATACCACGGGACACAGGAAAAATTGTTAAAAATCGGGACTGTCCCCCCAAAAGCGGGACATCTGGTCACCTTACTGTAGAGAGATCACTGAGCTGCCATTGGGGAACTGTAGGTGGTGGTGCAGCCCCAGCCCCAACCCCACCATCTAGGAGACCCAAGATCCACCAGGCCCAAACCTGGCGTCTGGATCACAGAAGCATGTTGTTATTGTTGTCAGGTAGGACAGCGTCCACTCCGATGCATAATGACCCTGTGTACCAAAGAATGAATTGTGGCTTGAGCCCATCGTTGCAGCCACCGGGTCAGTCCATCTCGGGAAAGGTCTTCCTCTTGTATGCTGACCCTCTACTTGACCAAGCATGATGTCCTTCCCCGGGGCTGGTCCCTCTGGAGAACAAGTTCCAAGTACATGAGATGGTGTTACCCTCCTTGTTTCTAAGGCGTGTGCTGCTGCCCTTTTTCGGAGACTGATCTGTTCGTTCTTCTAGCAGCCCACGGCGCCCTCGATATTCTCCAACAACACAATTCTGATGTGTTTGTGTCCTTGTGGTCCTCTCTGTCCGTTGGCCAGCTCCCACACGCACCTGAGGTCACTGAAAAGGCCATGGCTCGTTGGGTAGACACACCATCTTCAGGTGACATATTTGATGTTCAAAACTTTAAAGGGATGTACAGCAGATTTGCCCAGTGCAATGCGTGATTTGATCCCTTGGCTTCTACGTCAATGGACATTGACTGAATCTGAGTAAAAAGAAAATCCTTGCTACCTCTTCTCTGCTTATCACGATGTGGTTTATCCGTCCACTTGTGAGGATTTTGTTCTTTCTTTTTTATATATAAATCATTTTATTGGGGGCCCTTACAGCTCTTATCACATGTATATCCATACATCAATTGTCTCAAGCACATTTGCACATGTTGCCATCATCCTTTTCAAAACATTTTCTTTCTGCTTGAGCCCTTCCTTGGTATCAGCTCCTCTTTTTCCCCTCCCTCCCTTCTCACCTTCGTGACCCCTTGATAAATTATAAATTATTTTCATATCTTACACCATCTGCTGTCTTCCCTTCACCCACATTTCTGTTGTTCATCCCCCTTGGGAGCTGGGGGTTATATGTTGATCATTGCAATCAGTTTCCCCTTTCTCCCACTTCTCCCCACACCTTCTCCCTGCCCTCATGGTATTGCTACTCCCATTACTTTTCCTGGGAGGGTTATCTGTCCTGGGAAGAGCTGTGTCAAGAGCTCTTATCTGTACCAATGTACATGTTCCCACCTAGCCAGGTTTGTAAGGTAGAACTGGGGTCATGAGCGGGGGAGGAAGCATTAAAGAGTTAGAGAAATGTTGTGTGCTCCGTTGTTGCTTTACTGCACTATGGCTGACTGTCCCTTCCTTGTGACCCTTCTGTGAGGGGATGTCCAGTTGTTTACAGATGGGCTTTGGGTCTCCACTCCACCCTCCCCTCATTCACATCAATATGATTATTTGTTTGGGGTCTTCTGATGCCAGATTCCTGATCCTGTTGACACCACATGATCACACAGGCTGGTGTGCTTCTTCCGCGTGGGCTTTGTTGCTTCCCTGCTAGATGGCTGCTTGTTTACCTTCAAGGTTTAAAGACCCCAGACACTGTATCTTTTCATAGCTGAGCACCATCAGCTTTCTTCACATTTGCCTATGCACCCATTTTGTCTTGGTGCATAAGCTGATGGTGTCCAGAAGGTGAGCATCACAGAATGCCAGGTTATTAGAACAAAGTGCTCTTGCCCTGAGGAAGTGCTTGGATGGAGACCCAATGTCCATCTGCTACCTTAATACTTAACATATAAATATATGTACATAGATCTATTTCCCTATTGTTATATATAAATATATTCACACATGTACATGCCTGTATTTATACCTTTTATAAATGTCTTTTGCCTCCTCGTTCTTTCCTCTATTTCCTTTCACGTTCCTCCTGTGCCACTATCATGTTCGACCTTCATTTGGCTCTCAGTAATTCCTCTCGGCTACATTGTCCTTGATCAAACCCCACCAGGCCTTCTACGTCCTCCTCACCATCGATTTTAGATCTCCTCTTGTTCCCTTGTCCCTGGTGTGGAATTTTGTTTTCTTTATATTGAGGTACTATCCATACTGAAGGCTGTAGTCAATATTCACCAGTAAGCCTTCAAGACCTCTTGGCTGTCAGCAAGCACGGTGTGTCATCCGCATATTGCAGGTGGTTAACAAGCCTTCCTCCAATCCTGATGCTGCATGCTGCTTGATGTAGTCTACGTTGTTGCATTCTTTGCTCAGCATACAGATTGAATAAATTTGCTGAAAGGATACAATTTTAATGCAACACCTTTCTCGATTTTCACCATGCAGTATCGCCTTGATCCAGTCAAGTGACTGCCTCTTGGCCTGTGTGCAGGCTCCACGTGAGCACAAGTACATGTTCTGGAACACCCATTCTTCACAGGGTCATCCATCATCTGTTGTGATTCACACAGTTGGGTGTCAATAAAACGCAGGTAAACAGCTTTCTGGTGCATAAGCTGTCTTCTCAGCCAGGATCCATCAGATATCTCCAGTGATCTGCTTCATTTCACATCCTTTTCTGAATCCAGCTTGAATTTCCATCAGATCCCTGTTAATGTTCTGCTACAACTATTTTGGGTT